GCCCGCTAATTTGACCAATCGCAGCGCGTGTGGTAACTAAGAGGTATAATAAAGAAAGTTCTGTTTGTCGAATGTTCCACTCTTCTCGATTGGTTGGGAGCGAGCAAAGCCAAGGCGAGAAAAAGACGTGAAGTAAACATATAGGCCACAATGGCATATACAATTTCATTTGCATAACAAATAGCAACAAACGAGTTAGTTGCAGCGCAGCGCAAATAAACTGAACGCCTGGAAGACTAAACGAACGACGAATTTCTAATAAAAAAAATTTCTTTGAAGTCAAATGTAAATACGCATTTTACACACATCAACATACTTCATGTATCAACATACTTCTTGTCGATCGGTAAATACTGAATATTGAACTCAGAGTATTCCTGCTGCCTACCTTAAATCTTCTTCCTGACGTCGGTTCTAGTCAAGAAATCCAAATGGGCAAGAAATTAATGAAAGAGAGGATCACATTTACAAACTGATCTGATCGTTCCTTGCTTAGTCCCTGGCAAACGACTGATGAGCGACAAATGCCCACCCCCTTCGTAAGTTATTTGGACACTTCAAGTTGCGTGATTGGCTCGGTGTTGCTGTGAAGGCCAAAATACCGTTGAACACTTTGATTTGATTTTGACATGTTGATTGTGTAGCCAACAATCAGATGCGAGATAAAACCTCAGAAGAGCAAACAATTTGACAGTGTCTCCATCAGTCATGAAACCGCACTTCGATCGTTTTTCCTTCCAAAAATTGGCTGTTACCCTATAGTTTTATAATTACTAATTTAACCTGTTCTATCTGTGCAAGCAAACTGGAAATTCAAGCGACTCCAATCTAGACCATCTAGACCGGTTACATTTTGCGGCGAAAAAGTTGCAAACTAAAATGCAAAAATATTGACTATTTTTAGTTATTTATGGAAGTGCCAAAAAGCGTGAAACCAAGATGTTTTATAAAAAAGAAGCCTCTAATGAGAGTACCAGGGGAAAGAAAAATGTTCAAGGATTTGGCGGAAATGCAGCAGCGAGGGACTGAAGTTTGGAAAGAGTCTGCGACAAGCACAATCTAATTTATGCACGTTACGCATTTTCTAATGACTTCGCAAAATTTTGAAGGCAGGACCGGCACCACTAATATACAATTTCCTTTCACAGCGCAGTCGAGTATGATAATTTCGCTCATCTTCAACGCTATGAATTCGGCCTTGCACGTATGGAGAAAAAATTTGTCCCGTGACGTGAGACCCCCCAGGGAGCCGCTGTGTGCAATAGACAAGTTGCCGTCAACTGCTGACCGAGACAGAAAAAAAATGACTGACTTATGAGATGTTGTATTTCCTATACCACTTGGATTTTGTTTTACTGAATTATGTATAACGGGGCAACAACCTATTCATATCTTGAAACACAAAGGATTTATGTAATTTGATCTTCTTTTTGTCACAATATATTTAATCGTCGAACCCAACATTTGTATCATGTTTGAACGAAATCTTCCTGTTTTTTGTCATGGAAATGCTCTTAAACACTGCGAAAAGGATGTTGAGGCTATCAATGATTTCACGCCTTTTGTCAGACATTTCGTGAAACACAACTGTTGTTCCTCAAATTTATTTGTTTCTTAGAAAAAGCTTCCTTATTTTAGCACTAAGTAATTTAACATGTTCCGTTGTTCTGTATAATCGGATTGGCTTTCCTCCTTCTTTTTGCAGTGAGACTTTTTTTTTGTTTCCGTAACCCAAAAGACAAGTTGGAAATATGGAGGAAGAGCTTCCTATTTCCATAAGAAACTGTTGCAACGAAAAAAAGACAAATCACTTGTTTATTATGATAACAAGCTGTAAATTTCCTTTGACCGCGCAAATAATGCTTTTAAAGCCAGGGCTCCTGTTAAAGCTTGCTAAAGTACGCTGTTTCTGTTCTTCACCGCCGCAACTCTTTGCTGAGGCATCGATCATAACGTCTTGGGAAAACAAATTTTGCCCGTAAAATGAGATGTACATTATCGTGGCTAGGTAGCAAACAGAAAACGTTGCCGAAGGGGAAAGAGGATGAGTAAAAATATGTACTGGGTACTTCGCGTTTTCTTAACTTCTCGAAAACAGGAAGAAGATTCGAAAACAGGGTTATGAGTTCTACCGGACCAGTCATACTAACATTATATACCAGACTCATAACAACATTATATTCCGAGGAGAGACATTGAAAATGCTTATCAAGAACAGGGCATACTTTCGTGACCATTCTAGCATTAAATATAGTTTTTTTTTCAGATTTTAGGCCTCCCGCTGAAGAGGAAATGTTGATCTGAGGTAGAGTGTGGATCTTTTTCTTGGGAAGAGAATTTGCTGCGCTATTTCAACCAAAAAGAGGCATTCGTTATTTAAATTTGTAAAAACATAAGTACTATTTTATTTTGACAAACATAGGCGGAAAATTATACAAAGGGATGTTCAGAACACGGAAGAAGGGAATTTCGACGGTATGTCATCAGCCATAGGTGGGTGGTATTCGCCTTTCCTCACTTAACAAGTGTTTTCAGTTGGCCACTTTGATTTGAGACTGTTAAAACTTAGCTTTCGCCTCCTTACATGCCTTATGTTAGAAATGATCTTCCACATTTTATGTTCTAATCAGATGAAACGTGCATGGACTATTAGCCAATCAGTGTGCGTGCAGAATCTAAATTACCCAACTGATTCTAATTAATCTTGCTTCAGGAGTGATGTTCACAGTCTGATGATTTGTTAAAGGATGAAATTCACGACCACAGGATTTCCTCAGTGGAACAAATACAGAAATGATTAAACGACAGCCCCGGAGCCGACAAACCTACTAAGGCTATTGACCACTATAAGATCTCTTACCAATGAAAGTTTAGTCCGTGATCAGCTAGCTAAAACAATTGGAGATCACGAAATGTTGTAAATTGAAGTGAAAAACAGCTGCCTAAGGCTCTTATCACGTATCTTGAGTCATTCCATTTTGCCATAGCGTGGGGTAAAAATGAGAAAATTCAGCTGACTGCCTTCCGTTTGCGTCAATGATAAAAGCAGCTAAAAAAGAGCAGTAAATTTGGATGTCTTGTTGTCAGTCGTGGTTGCCGGTTTTCTAAGGCTTTACCATCCTTAATTAGTCATTGAGCAGCTGCACGTCAATGGGCTAGCAGGAAAACTCTCAAAAATGATTAACAAGTGCTGTTATTTTCTCGCTAAGTACGTTAAGCTGAACTTGAACGACGTTTGTGTAATCTACTCGATACTGACAACATTCCCCATATAAGAGAAAAAAAAACCGAAATGTTCCGCAACAACATTCCGCATATAAGAGAAAAAAAAAACGAAATGTTAAACACCGTCACTTGACGATTGCAGTTTTTGATTTATCTTAAGTCTTCAAATCAAACAATGAAACGTGCTTTGTTTCCAGCAGCAATTCATTGAAAACTCTCCTTGTCACAACATTGTTTCTACATCTTCTACATCTCTGACTCTTACTGTACTGTTTTCAATGTTTCCGTCAACACTCAGGGAGACGCCTTTAGAGTTATTTCTATTCACCTGTTTCCTATTTGCAAAGGTCTTTTTTGATCGACGTCCGCGGCGAGACAAACCAAAAGTCTTATATAACGCCACGCGAAACTTTTCACATCTCCATACGTAGACGCAAGGATTTAGAAATGAACTCATAAACATTGTGGTGAAAGACCAGCGGAATCTCGTATAGTCGCTACTTCCAGCCAGTTGGAACCATGTGTCGGGCAAAAATAGAACGATAGAAACGCTGATCAAAATCGCTAAAGTTCGATTTGTCAAATGATCGTGAAGTACCATGCTGACTCTGTAGTTATAAGAAATAGATTGAAACTGGGAGACGATTCGACGGCGTTGTTTTCTGGCGATGCAATAAATCTTCAAGTACGCGACGAGAAACACGAGCAGCATACCCAAATGAAAATACGGAGCAGGTTTTTTTAAAGGGGTTGATGTGAACACGAGTGCCATCACAATTGAAATCACCCACACAATACACACGATCACCGCAATGTTCCTACCTCGCATAATCATAATATACTCGAAAGGAAACCAGATCGCGAATAATCGATTGATCGTCAGAGACAAAAGATTAAGAAACGAAGAATGCAAAGCAATGTACGAGATCAGCTTGAAAGTTTCAAAGTCTCGAGTGTTCCATTCTTGGTTCAAGTAGTAAATGTATAACGGCTGAGCGATGGAACAAACCGTGAAATCAGCAACACTGAGACTGAGTATGAAGTAGTTGACACCTGTCTGAAGTTCTTCGTTGCGGTAGATGACAAAGCACACCAGTAGGTTTCCAATTGTTCCCGCTACTGAACAAAATGCGTTAACAGTTGAAAGAATCGAGATGGCTAACATTGCCGGTAGAATCAGCGCCTGTGTCCACCCAAATTAACAGCAGTTTCCTCTCCTCGGCGCTTTCCACAGCTCAACTTCTTTCCACAGCTTAGCTTTGCTAAGAGGACTTGTTTTGGAAATGAAACTTTTTAAAGGGAGGTCGGATTTGCTGCTTGTCTCTTGACAGGAAATTACAGCAGACTTCCCCGGAGCTTCAATTACAGCCAAATAACATTTCGTTTTTCCTGCGGCTTGATCTACTTAATTTGGCGCTATTTTGACTGGCTATAATTCTGTTTTGCATTACACTGAGCTCACTTGTATTGGATTCTCTCGAATGATCAAACTCGAGCAAGAGAAATCCGGAAATTAATTCTATTCCTCATCTCGTTCTAGTGAACACTGTGTGCTTTTCTGTGATTAAGTCAGTCCAGAATTTGTAGGTACTTGACACAGTGTCGCTTATAATTAATGGTTTCCGTTTTTCTCATAACCTATCATCGTGACAAAGTATTAATATTGTATGGAGAATTTTGATTTTCATCCTCCATGGGAATTTTTAGAAAGATTGTATTAGTAAGCAAAAACAACGTAGGCATTCTATTCAGAATCAATTCCGCTTCTCAGATTCCCATGCAACAAGCTATATACCGTCAAAATAACGATTAGACCAAGTTAGGCTATCTTTGACAGCCTGAGTATCAGGCTTTGGGGAGGGGAGGAAAAACGAAGGAAAGAAAAATGGTGAAGGTATAGGCCGTGACTGAGCGAGAACTGAAAACACCTTGTTTATCAGTCTAATTTCACACAGAGATTTTTCACTTGCATTCAGCGTTGAGCCTTGTGATGCTAGCTCGGCAAACTGTACCTTGCTTCGGGAAAATCGTCGAAAAGCAAACACGCGTTTTATTAATTCACGATATGGCAGAAACGAAATGAGAAATGGCATCGCGATTCGAGAAAAAAGAAAATCAAAATTAAGAAACTAACCACAAGCCTGAAAATCAGTGCAACATTGCCCTAAGTTAAGGCTAAAAATTAGCGAGCTTAAAATGTCTCAATGAACTTTAAACTCAATGACTACATTGAATATTGATTGATCTACCTGAGGGCCAAGTTTAAAAACCATTCGCCGAGTTGTTTTAACTCCCGACTAGTTTAATAATTGAAGGGTGGATTTTTGATTAAAAAAAAGCAAAATAACACCCTAAGGCAGTTGATACTCGAGCCCATGTCCTGAATACCGAACGGAGCGATTTTCCTGAGATTTTCAGTCACGGTCATCAACGTTATAAGATTTATTTGACACCAATATACCATGTGAAACATTTTTAAGGATATAGTTTTCTATAACAGTTTAAAATAGTTTTGTTTCTGTTGTATTTTGAACCGAAATCGAAAACGACAATAATTTTTGTTTTTATAATTTTGCAATCTTAACAGACAATTACGTCAGGTCGACCTTTTTAACATTATAAAACTGGATCATTAGGTAACGCAATTCAAGAGTATTCATTGGCTGAGTCATCGTGGTGTATGAGCCATTATACCATGCTTCACAAATATGTTAAGCATACGCGTAATTTTGGTGGGTGTGTTTCTTTCTACTTTACCTTAGTTTTCTATATTTTGAGGGCGTTTTTAGTAAAACAATTATTCCACTTGCACTTGTTGGATATGAGATGTTTATAGCCAACTCGGCGCTACGCGCCTGGGAGGCTATCTACCATCTCATATCCAACGCACGCACTCCGCGCTACGCGCCCTCGGAGGTCATCTACTATCTCATATCTAACGTGCGCCCATGGAATAATTGTTAATTATCCCTTACAGATAACTTTTCCGGTCTCGTGCAAAAAGGTATGAAGTTCATTACGTTGCAATGGCAACTCAGAGTTTGGTGGAACGTTATCTCATCTGAGACTTTCAATTCATCTTTGTCTAGTAAACAAGTGCCGCTCGATGTTCTCAGACTTGGATTGATTATGGTGATGAGTTGCTCACGGTTGACAGCGATCCGATTGAGCCACCTTAACTAGGAATTACATTCTAGAAGAAAAGATAGACATTGGAGCTTCATATAACACTTGTAGATGTAGAACAGCGTTTCAGCCGATTATGGTTTCCGGAACTGCGCATCACGGCGTAGTCAGATCATCGAATTAAAATGCCTCACTCCCCATGCATGGTTCGCCCCCCTTCCATTCCCTTCTCTGATGGGGAAAGTAGCCTCGATCGACTGATTGGTCAAAAATGGAAACAAACAAACAAACAAAGAAAACCAGAGCAAAAAACTATGTTAAAAGTGGCACCTGAAAAGACATCCTCAAAAGAACTGGAAACGACATATGGTCGAAAATAATAATAAAAACAAACAAACAAACAAACCCAAGTTAAAAGTACTGAACGAAAGTAGCCACTCTCCTAACGGATTGAATTCAAACGCAGTAAACGCAGTGATCTAATTATAACTTAGTCGAGGAAAGAACCACTTTCCCTTGATCTCGATTGGTCTAAACGGCGGAAAGTGTGCTGAAGTCGATCGCTGCTGACACACTTCACATCTTCACTTTCACAAAACTTTTTGCCTGCCGAAACAGATAACGCTACCGACAAATATATCCTTGCATATTCTCACGCTAAACGGAGGTTATTGTTTAGTGTATAAATAAAATGGCCACGTTTGTCTGGGAATAATCGAATGACGTTGTTTTCTTTGATTCGAGATAAAGAAACTTTAAAAAGGATGAAGATTGGAGTTATCATGGCTAAAAGCTTTACAACCGATACAATATAATGAAAATTGCAGAGAGGGAAAAACAGTTGTATTTAGAGTTTTAAATATTCCTGTAATCAACCCCCATATTGCATTGTTTAACGAATACATCGTCATGCTAAAAGGATTGCTTCAGGGAGATAATTGTTTTGGCTTATCAGTATCGTAAACATTGCGATTGATTGGTTTGGAGCATCAAAACAAAACTATCAATTTTTAAGCATTTATGTAAATCTCTTAGATTATGCCATAAACAAAAAAAATGGCTCCAAAATCAAGGTTTGAAATGTAGCAGCCATAATAAGCTCTTAGGTTAGATGGAGGGCGTAAATCAGAGCCTCTTCCGACATAAATAACCAGTGGTCTTTTTAATCCCGTTTAGCAAGTAGCTTATCAAAAAAAGAAACTGCCTCGTCATGCTGCCTTTTATTGCGTCAAGACATAATCTGGTAGTTGCGTATATTATAATTAGCAACAACAAGGAGCAAGATAATTAATATCCCCGATAATAATGAAATGTATCAGCCGTTACCATTTAAAGCACTCTCAAAGCAACCTTTAACAAGAAGACACCTATTTCATTTTCCTATTCAATACATCGACCACAGTCAGGGAAAATAAACCCCAAAATCAGTTTCAACACTGGCTTCGTCTTAGCAGTTAATACTGTAAATGCCAGTTAGTACATAGTACATTTTAAAACCGGTTCCACAATCAGGGTTATCCGTAGACTAACACTCAGTTCCTTCCGTATGTTCGAAATTCTCCGTGCATTCCAATGTCTTTACATTTATGATTCTACTTGCGCCCACTTTCTGAGGGTTCTTGGGTCTGTTCCAATGTTTACTTATGGCAATGTTCTTTTTCGATCGACGACCGCTGCGCGACAAACCCAAAGTCTTGTATAATGCAAGCCGAAACTTTTCACTTCTCCACACGTAAACGCAAGGATTCAAAAACGAGCTCATAAACATTGTCGTGAATGACCAACGAAATCTTGAGTAGTCGCCACTGCCAGCTAATTGTAACACCATATCGGGCAGAAAAAGAACAACTGATACGCTGATCAGAATCGCCAGAGTTCGGGTCGTAAGATGATCGTTATGAACCTTCGTCACTCTGTAGTTATGAGAGATGGATTCGAATTGAGAAACGATTTGACGGCGTTGTTTCTTGGCAATGCAGAAAATCCTCAAATACATCACAAGAAACATGAGCAGCATTGCCAGGTGAAAATATGGTGCGGCATCTTTTAAGGGGGATAATACAAACCCGATCGCCATGACTACGGAAAGAATCCATGCGAAGAACACGATCAGAGCGATGTTTTTGCCACGCATAATCGTGCCATACTCGAAAGGAAACCAGATCGCGAATAATCGATTGACCGTCAGAGACAAAAGATTAAGAAACGAAGAATGCAAAGCAATGTACGAGATCAGCTTGAAAGTTTCAAAGTCTCGAGTGTTCCATTTTTGATTCAAGTAGTAAACGTATAACGGCTGAGCGATGGAACAAACAGTGAAATCAGCAACACTGAGACTGAGTATGAAGTAGTTGACACCTGTCTGAAGTTCTTCGTTGCGGTAGATGACAAAGCACACCAGTAGGTTTCCAGTCGTTCCTGCGACTGACAAGAAAGCATTGATTATGGACAGAATGCGAAAGGTTAAAACCCGTTCCATATAACCGAGTGGCAAACAGTTAGCTACAAACAGCTTGAGTATCGATTGATAGATGACGAATGACGGAAATGACTTCCTCGTTTGACTTTGTGACAGGAAACTTTGGCTGGCCTCGAACAATGCCCTGTGAGAAAAGCTCTCTTTTATATTACACTGCCGGGCAAATGTTTCTTCCGTTGTTTTTTTCATTTAAAATGTTCAACGCGAAAAAGAAAGAGCCGATTAATCCTCAGTATAAGAACACCTGTCAGCTTCTAATGCGCATAAATCATCTTTAAGACTATCCCATTGATTTTGACGTACTGTAACTAAAGCAAATAATCAATGCGTTTCCCAAAAACTCATAAAAACGAATTTCGCTCATCATAATCTCGAAATAACTAAGTAATAAATGCCGTTTTTTGGTCTGTAAATAGAAAATAACCATTTGATTGGTAACTAAATTGAACCCAAGACAAGATTGGTCTTCTCTTGATGAAACTTAGTTATAAGCTAAGTACGCTAAGGACCAAATGAACGTAAAATAAAAGCAATAAGGTTTTAAAGCGCGCATGTTGCTGTGACCACTTCTTTTAGCTGACAAATATTGAAACACCCATGATAAATCGTCGGTCATTTTTAACTTATCTGCATGAACACGCAACACTGACGAAACTATGGACAGAGCGGCTCAATGCTAGAGATTTGTGACTTATTTACATTTTTTGGGCTGGAAGAACAAAATCTCAGAAAACTTAGAATAAACCTTACAGTAATTATGACAACAAAAATCAACAGTCAGTTCCGAAAAAAGAGTCGCGATAAAGAAACGCTATTTTAATTGTAACTATGTTGGACAAAAAATTAACCACAACATATCCACATTCTGTGTATTTCTTTTTTGTTGTTTTATTTATTAAGAATACATAGGATTTTAAAAGAGGCACATTACTATAAATCTCGATTTAAAATACATACCTAACAAAAAAATTGACAACATCAGTCATGAAGGCACTATTGGTTGCGCATTATCTTGAAGTTTTGTTTTAGTCTCTTTAAGGTTCCAATCAAACACTCCATCTTATTCAATTTCTAGCTTTAATGCCAGCTGTTTGAAGAGTCCTCTTAAGAAGTCATAATCTGGTTCTTCCTCGAATTTTAATCCCTTGCAATAGTTAAGATATTCCCGAAATTCATTGGGCAGCTCGTGGCAAAGCCGTTCTACGGAAATGGACATTTTCTTCTCGGTAATCAACTTATACCTCTCTTGATCATTGCGTGCCTGCAGGCCCTGCCACGGTAAGGACCCTTTACAGAAGTACACGAGGACATAACCGATGGACTCTAAATCGTCTCTTCGACTGGGCTCCATGCCTTTATGTGCATTCACACTGGCGTAGCGGGTTGTTCCGGTGATTTCACGATTTTCCATTTGTCGAAATCTGATATGTTTAACACGTTTGTCACGGTATTTCTTGGCAAGTCCAAAATCAATTAAGTAAACCTAAAATAAATGTGACGCAAAAAGAAATATATTAACATATCGCAGTGACTGACTATTGGACTCGCAATCTGATTGGCTGAAGAGGTGTCTTCAACTTCTTCATTATTGGGGAGCTCAAGCAAACCACGATGGCAAAGGCAACGAAAACGTCACCAACAAAAGATTTGACCATGCACGTGCGTTTTAAATCTTTATTTTTTGACATTTATTGGCCGTCGCTGCAAAGCAGCAACGTGAAATGAGCAAGTTCTGTGTATTTTGGAGAAGGCAGGCCATCACAAATTTTTCGCAGTTCGTTTCGCAATTGATCGCTGGCATTACATATTTAGCTTGAGCAGGTTTTCAGACCGATTGGCGTACTGAGCAGGTTCAGATAGTTACGAAATTCGAAGGTAAAATATAAATCCCTTTTTTTTTACCAGGCGTCGTCTCTGTGTCGCCGTCGTCATTGCTTAAGCTCCCTAATTAGAAAGTTGCACGTACAACCTCTTTCCCAAGATCTCAAGGCAGAATAGAGAACCTAGTAACGAGTTTAAACTTTGCAAAGAAGCCATATGCATTATCTCTATTGTACTACACGATAGCAGTTCAACTGAAGGTATTATATCAATGGTAAACAACAGGAGCCATAATCGGGGACCCCGATTATGGCTCTGTAAACAATCAAGACCAACAATCCAAAACAATCATGTACATGGCCCCTGAAGCTTTAAAAGCTTAAAACAGTTACTGTGTGCAAAAAAATTGGTTGATTAATAAGTGATTGATTCATTGATTCATTGTTCATTGATTGATGAATTGATTATCAGTAACAATCAGGACAGACGGCACTCCACGATGTATAATTGTGTGACCTGTCTATCAGCATCAATTTTCTGTACTGGTTGACTGCTGGATTGCTATTGGTTGATCCCTCCGTCTACTTAACATTTAGATGATTCGCTCTCGATTTCTATGAGGTGATAGATGATGAGGCCGAAGAAGTAGAGTTCTTACTAAAATTTACTTCAAATAACGGTTTCCGATTATTTTTTGACGTATTATTAAACTATGCGCCTGAAAAAGATCGCTCAGATTGAATTGTCATTTAAAATTGAAGTTGTGTGCGCGCGCATCAGTTTTTTCAATAATTTCGAATTTTTTGTAAGCCAAGAAACCGTCAATGTCCTTCGTTTAGACTTTTCAGAAGTTTAATTATTCATTTGCATCAAAATGTTCCCCCAATATTCGGAAAAACGAGAAAAACGTCGCCAATTTCTAGACGACTTCCAGCCACTGCGCACTAATGGCTGATCTTGTTCAATGTCGCAGCCAATCAGATTACAGCATTTGCAATAGTATACTAGTAGAATTCTATTAAAGATATATATGGGGGTGTATAAATTTGTATACATCTAAAGTTTTTTTTTTTTTTTTTGCTTTCTTTTTGATTTTGTGCCTCAGAAGATAACAGCTTGTACAAACTATATATAGTATATGCAATGACTACTTTTAAAGGTAAAGCAAGTTTGACAACCAGTGTTGCTAGTCTTGCTATGTTCATGGAATAAAACCCCCTGGGAGGATTTTTTAAAGCAAACAGTACCCGGTAAAAAAACTGACCCTGATGCAACCAAATTTCTCAGCGGATAACGCGTACCTTATCCGTTTTATCCCGTCGGCCCATGAGAAAATTCTCTGGCTTGATATCACGGTGAAGATAATCATTTTCGTGAACAAACTTGATCCTGGCAATCATCTGGTCAGCTAACTGCAGCACAGTCTTCAAACTAAACTTTCCAGACATTCTGAGCAACAATTGATCTAAATTGGCTCCTAGAAGTTCCATAACTAAAATGTTCTTGTTTGCCTCCTGTCCACACCATAGGACTTGAGGAAAGCCCTCCTAAAATTTTAACGAAATGGGCCATATTCGTATTCTCGGTATTGGACTGAAACTAGCTTGCAAATGAGGTTATTGCGGGGAGTCTTTTCAAATGCGAACAACATAGTTCTCTTTTTAATGATATTCCCACGCGTGAGCCTCCATTGCAAGCTAGTTCCAGTCCAAAACCGAGAATACGAAAATGGCCTATTGATAGGGCGGTTAGCAGCCTAGTACATGGGCTACCTAAGAATCTTCTCCGCTATTGAATACCGAGGAGGCCTGGGAGACGAATTTGGTACTCGGACGATCTCTTCCTTTTATGAATTTTCATGAATGCCCTGAAAACTCGCGTCAGGGAGAGCGCGTGCCAGAATTACAACTACTCACAAGGAAGGGTCAAAAAGGCATCTCACTGTAAGTCGAGCTACAAAGATAAGGGACTCCAACATTAATTGGTGATCATCAGTAACCATGACCACGCTTATAAGTCATATAAGTTGCAAAAAAATGGTTTCTAATTAGGAGAAATACATGTACTCTTAACTGTTGATTTATACAGTGCTTTCCACACGGATTTTGTTTTTGTACTATGTACTACAACCGGCCGAAACAAAGCAACGAGACCCAAGTGACCGACGTGAAACACCGAAACAACCAAGAAACGGCTGAAACAAACGAAATGCAATCACCAAAAGAAGCCGAAAACCATCACTTCTATTGGCAGCTAACCGTTATCAGGCTAATGCAAACGTTATTCAGGCTAACTGGAGCGCAACAAGACTGCAGACTTAGATGTGCGCTCCAGTTGCCGTGAATGGCACTTGGGTTAGCCTGTGGTTGGCTATTAACGGTGGTAATAAGTTTTACTCGTGTCGATGAATTCGCTTGTTTTGCTCGCTTTTTAAAGGTAAATGAGGTGAGGGTATACTTACCACATTGTCATCTTCGCCAACGCGATGTAACGCTTTGAGCAAACGAGCTTCTTCTAAGAGCGTTTGTGGTTGACTTGTTTGCTGAGACTCGATTTTTATCGCCACTTGTTCTCTACTGTGGATATCTCTTCCTAGACATATGACTCCAAAGGATCCCTCGCCAATCTTGCCTAAAAGACGATACTTTGTGGCAACGAGACTTCCCCCAGAAACTGGTGGCTTAGATGGACCCGACATGTTGTTCAGTCTCACATGTTTATTTTTGACATTCTTCTTCTGAAAATTCGCTTGACTCTTTCGTCATAATGGCATGCTTGTTTAGCGCGCGCTAGAGAGGTATTTCTCCGGTTATGCTCAAATTGAACGTTTGTTTTGCTTCGACTGAGTTATTAGATAACTGGGATTCTAGTTCTAGAAAAATGCTTTAATTATATACCCTCGTCTACACCGTGAGGCTCCGGTTAGCAACAAATGCACAATAAACCAATCAGAATTTGAAGCAAAAACATGCAATTGGTACCAACCGCTTGCGCAAGGCGCGCGAGTTCCGGTCTACTCCTGATTGGCTGATGAACAGCACGCATTTGCTCTAATTGGTCCAAGTTCATCACGCGTTAAAAAAAAAAAAAAAAAAAAAAGGAAAAAGAAAAAAGAAAAAAGAAAGAATCTTGTTGTTGTGAATCTCTGCATCGAATAACTAATCAAACCTTCTAACCCCGCGCAACTTCAAGAGTAAAGTTTTGGTCTCTTTGTTTGCTTTCTTTGCTAAGTACGGAGGACTCCCGGAGTGTAGCGCGCACCCGCTCAAAAAATTAAATAATGAGAAATAGACTACATTAATTGAAGCTATGTTAAAGCAAAAAGTCGTTCTCCCTCAGTTTATAATTAGTTTGTTACGTCATAACAATTACCTGATTTTCAGCAATAACGAGGATATAAATCGAGTGCATTAATGTAATTATGCAAGCCATTAGTTCGAGTCGTCAGAGAATAACCGATGACATGCACAAAGTAAATTGTCTTTAAGAATCGTACGAACAGAACAGCATTACGCGAACACTTGGGTTCGACAAAAACGCCACCGGAGAAAATAGTATTTCTTCCAGCTATATATGGCCTTGGCTATCCGGCATGGTACACCAACGCGAGAAGAAAAGGAGGAAAAAGAGTGCTTCATAACGAACCTCAGCAACGAAATCCTTCTTTATGTTTCGATATATATGGACGCTAAGTCAGTGGCGAGACTTTGTCAGACTTGTCGACGTTTACGAGATGGCATTATGTGTAGTGATCCGTTATGGAAAGAACGCCTCCGACGAGACTTCGAACTTGATCTTCGAATGAAGAGGCCATTCAAATCGTTTTACGAAATATATCGCCTAGTATCAATGTCCCGAACAGTTACAAAGATTTATCTATCGGAGCGGTTTTATTCTTCAGGGAAATACGGTTATTTGCCCGGCTGGTTATGGACTTGGGTTATACTGAACACCAGCGCTCCTGAACTACCCTCGTGGATTCGCAATAACAGACAGGCGTTTCTGCGGCTCAAAGTGAGCGAGATGCCCTTAGGACGAATCCAGCGGGTATGGAATTTAGCCGCGGGAGATTTCTCTGGGATTCGGGAGGTGCGAAATGAAAGAGGGACTATCTATTACAGTTGGTCTGACGTTCATAAAGTCTTCTTCGCTAAGTACGGTGGACTCCCGGAATTGACTGCGCATTCGCTCAAGCGATGCTCGCGCGCTAAGCGACATCTCGAGCGAAATTTCACCGAACTCACTTCCGAAGACTCACCAAGACAAAATCAAGCGCGACAGACCTTTATTGCAGTAATACCACAAGACCTTTTCACCTTTCGTCATCTCTTACAACCTTTATGAAAAAATGTTCAGTTGGATGACTGGAAAATGAAGCAAACCGGCAGTAGAAACATTTGCGGAGTGTGCAGTCCTACAGAGTTAGGGCTTTATTTAGTAAAGAAATTTAAGGAAGACAAATATCATCATGTTATATCAAGCTTTGGTTTACTTGGAATCCTTTGGAATTCTGTACATAAATGGAGGTGACCAATCCAAGTTGATAGATCTTTACAATTTTTCCTAACGTATAATAACGTTACATGAATATAACATTGTCGAACTGAAATTATATTTTTGACGTGAAATTTGAAAGACACTTTTACTGCATAATTTGTTCTTGCAGGCATGTATTTCAGTCCACTGATTATCACAACTGAGACAACTCACTTTATCATTAGGCTGCTGATAGATTCATACAGTGGTATGGAGCAGTTTTGCGTAAAACAAAATAACACTTAATGGGACACAAACAAACGTTTTGATACAAGTGAAGACTGAGGAATGAGAACGCCAAAAGCGAGGAATAGAAGAAAACATTCATTGTTCGTTTCCTACTCAGAAGCTCGAGATATTTAGTATTGAAACAAACTAAAGTATACGAAAAGCAATGACTCTGGTTTCTATTTGGCCTACAAATACACGAAGGAGGAATGTGCCCCCTACATCCTTCAAAGAAGTTGTAACTAGCACTTAGAACAGATCAGTGATTTCCAAAACTGCTTAAACTATATCAGTCGGAAAACAAGTTGCGCGTCGGTAGATCCTCTTACAGTGGCTCCGGGAGCTTTAATCTGTAGAAAGGGCAACTGAGCTTGATTAAGTTGTACAACGCAAACTCACACCAAAACACAAGCATTATTCACGCGTGCAATGCAAACGAGACAAACGACATAGCGGTTGCGCAGGTACAAGTGAAGTAATTTTTCCCGGCTGCAGTTGTGCGTAAAATGCGAGATAGGAGCGTGAACTGTTAGACTGGAGCGCGAACTGCAAGAATGGAGCACGAAATGCGAAGCTTGATCGTGGGGTGGAAAAGTGAAGCGCGAAGGGCAATACTTGAGGTGACGTGCGAGAGACGAGCGTGAAGTGCAAGAATGATGCGCAAAGTGAAAGGCATTGCCTGCGACTTCGGGTGACACAACCGAAGAATGATTCGTACATCGATGCGAGTGGACGATTTTTCCACGTAATCACCCCCTTTAAAATTTGGCACCGTCTTTGTTCGTAATTCTCCCACTCTAAATTCACAGCAAGAACAAAAACAAAAATCTTCACGCTTTTACCAGTTTATCCCAATCTCTGACCAATCGCCATCAACCGAACCGTACATATCCGATCACAGACCAGCAGACGGACCATTGCAAAAATAAATTAAAATGTCAAATTTCAAGTCTAATTTTATGTTTGTCTTCATTCTCAATCCCCGAATAAATATCAACTTTGAAAATTTTTCACCAAAGTACACAAACATGCCGTCCGTAACTGAAAACGACAAGTTGAAATCATTCGATCGATTTTCGAGGACAAGCTGAGACATCTATCTACTATCTATCCCAAAAATCAGAATTTTTCTCTTTTCCGATCTTATATATTTTTCAAATATTTCTTGTTGGGGGAACTCGATGCCCTCTTGAATTTGCCATGAAGAGGAAAAGAAAAGTTAACGATTAATTGGGCAATGGTGTAATTTTACATGCGAGCAGTTTTTGAGCTTCTTACATGTGAGACATGTGGGTTTTCTTAATGGAAAACCACAGAACAAAGTGATTTTCGTGTTTGTTCATATCGAAGTGTAGCAAGAGCACCGCGTGGTGTCACGGTTAACACTCTTTCACAACTTTCCCAGCAAGGACCACTGTTGCACGACATATTTCGACATCACACAATCTACCATGGTCATACATATTGCTGCTCTCCTCTGGCGTGTTGTGCTTGCATAACTTCATTATTTGGACGTTGAAGATAGCAGTTACCTGGAATTCTTGTGGCGTTTTCACTGGCGGTTAGTTGCGCCTTTTCTTTATTTATAGTGCAATCCGTTTGCGAAGAATACGCTCAGCCTGTCACTAGTGAACAACTTCAACAAACAGTAAAGACAGCCAAGTCCTCAACTTGGTGGAATCAATTCCCTGTCGGAGATCCCAAAAACTGTTTCTTTCATGACAATGTGAATCGCCTTGAGGTTCTACCGGGATTCGGATGGGACAATTTACGAAATCTTGAAATGGAGCTAAATGGGACACGTACTGGCCTCCAATTATTCCCAGTGTAAAACCACGGCTGACAGAAAATACCTTCTGCCCGATGACGCTTTTGTAATCCCTGTGAAACGCAGCAAAGTGGACATGTTTTCGGAGGTGTTTGATGACTGGAAAAGCTACACAAGTACCACGGCAAACTCTGTTAATCTAGAGGCGTCTTATTCGGTAGCAAGCGGTTCTTTCGCAGCGGATTTCAAATACAACAAGGAGAAGCAAGTCGGAGATAAGGCTGTCACGGCGTGCGTCCAAATCCGCCACCTGTTGTGCGCAGTGAAGACGCATCCGGAATCGGCGCTTCATTCCGTCTTCAAAAGTAGGCTGATGCAGATTGCGGCAGAGCTGCAAAACAACCGCACCAAACAAGCGTGGTACAGCGCCCAGCTTCTTGTGAGAGAATACGGCACGCACATTATCACGTCTGTTGACGCCGGCGCTACACTCGTGCAAGAAACTCACATCAAGGCCCGGGGGGTACTTTGGGAATTTCTGGGTGGGGATGTGCCGCTGGGACCCTGGAACCCTTAGCCTATACCAGAGCTAGTTCAGC